GGGGGGGGCACACATTCAAACTAGCACCCCTGATGGGATGGATGGTCCTTGGAGGTGGGGCCTTTTGGAGCTAAGGAGGTTTAGATGAGGTCATGAGAGTGGGGCCCCGATGATGGGGTTAATGTCTTTGTAAGAAGAGACACCAGAGCGCCTGGTCAAGAATTCATATTGGGAGGGGTGCCTGGGTGGCTCCGTTGGTTAAGCGTCTGCCTTCGGTTCAGGTCATGATCTCAGGGTCCTGCTCAGTGGGGAGTCTGCTTCTCCCTCTCCCTTTGCCCCTCCCCCTGCTCTCTCTCTCTCTCAAATAAATAAAATCTTTAAAAAAAGGCAGACGCTTAACAACTGAGCCACCCAGGCGCCCCGGACTGGCTCCTCTTCTTAACTTAGTCTTATTCTAGATGATATCTGTGAGGTCACAGATGTCATGTACTGATTTTCTGAATACCCATGAAAATAATCATTAACAAAGAGTTCAACATGAAGCATTTAAAACAATCTTGTGCATTGTCAGCGATACGTACATACACTTTGTATTTTATCTCTAGTGTTCAGCACAGTGCTAAGCACCTCCTAGACACTACTTAAATATTGCCAAGTGCATGACTGAATGAACAAGTGAAAGGGGGAGGAGGGTGGTGGTGTGTGAGTGGGTAGATGGGTGCATGGATGAATAGGTAGGTGAATAGATGGGTGAATGGCTGGGTAGGTAGGTGCACAGGTGGGTGGGTGAATGGATGGATAAGTAGGTGGATGGATGGAGGGATGGATGGATGGATGGACAGATGGATAAGTAGGTTGGACAGGTGGGTAGGTGGGTGGGTGGATGGATAGATGGACGGATGGATGGATGGATGGATAAGTAGGTTGGACAGGTGGGTGGGTGGATGGGTGGATGGACAGATGGACGGATGGATGGATGGATGGATGGATAGTTGTTTGGATGGATGGATGGACAGATGGACAGATGGATAGTTAAGTAGATGGATACATGGATGAACAGGTGAATGAAAAGCTAGATGGATTTCAGTGTGTGTCTTAACAAAAACCTGGCTTGGGGCAAAGGTCATTTAAGTCTTTCTTCTCAGTCCAAAGTTACTCACCTTCCCTTGATCAATGAGAAGCAGCCCAACCTGTGACAAGGAGTGAAAGTAGAAGATCCCACCCAAAGATCCAACTAGTTCTGCCTATAAAACAAACAAATATCACATATGAATAAATCATTAACGCATTTGATTTTAACTCCAGATTACCTCGAAAGCTAAAATGAAGGGAAGTCTTTTTGTTACGATCTATTTCCCCTCTGTGGAAATGTAGCATGTAGGACAGAACCTTGAATGAGGAGAGAGACAGCCAGAGGGGGAACACAAGCAGGGGGAACAGGAGAGGGAGAAGCAGGCTTCCCGTGGAGCAGGGAGCCCGATGCAGGGCTCAATCCCAGGACCCCGGGATCATGACCTGAGCCGGAGGCAGACGCTTAACGACTGAGCCACCCAGGTGCCCTGGCAGTTTTCTATTATAAACAGCACCATGGACTGAATTGTGTCTCCCCCAAAATTCGTATGTTAAAGTCCTAACCCCATCTTAGTCCATGTTGGCTGGTATCACAGAATATGCCACAGACAAGTAGCTTCCAAGCAACAGAGGTTTACTGCTCACAGTTGTGGAGGCTGGAAATCTGAGATCAAGGTGCCAGCACGGTCAAGTGAGGGCCCACTTCCAGGTTACAGTCTTCTGTGTTCTCACATGGGAGGAGGCTAGCAAGCTCTCTGTGGCCTCCTCTTTTAGAAGCGCTCTGATCCCATTCACTCCACCCTTATGATCTAAACACTCCCAAAGGCCTCACCTCCTAATACAATCACATCAGGCATTAGAATGGCAATATAGAAATTTTGGGGGGGGCACACATTCAAACTAGCACCCCTGATGGGATGGATGGTCCTTGGAGGTGGGGCCTTTTGGAGCTAAGGAGGTTTAGATGAGGTCATG